CAGGGAGGTGGGGAGAGAAGCATGGCCCCCAGCCACCCCCAGGCCTCCTCCCTGATCCCCACAGGGGGACAGGAGGCAGGGAAGCCCTGAGGGATGGGGAGTGCATGAGTGACCCCCGCAAAGTGGGGGCACTTAGGATGCTCCCTGCATCCAAGCACAGAGCTAGAGGGGATCAAGACCCCTACCCTGGGGCTGCTGCAGCTCCCAGAACCCTGGGCCAAAAACAGCCCCCACTCCGAGAGCAGGAACTCCCACAGACCGGGGCAGGGTGGGGGGTGCATCCATGCGTCTGGGCATTAGCGGCGTTTGGGACCCCCCCACCCCGGGGTGGAGTCTCCTTGGGCAGATAGTGGAGGCAGCCCCCTGCCGGCAGTCCTGCCTGCTCCCGTGCCTGTGCCTCGGCTGGCCTCAGTAGGGGGAGAATTTCTGCCGCTCAGCTTTCTTGCTCCCATTGGCCGCTGCCATCTTGGCAGTGTAGGCCGCCAAGCCCGGCGGCGGCCCTGGGGAGGCAGGTGGTAGAGCCAAGAAGGGTACAGGCTTGAGGCCGATGAAGTTGGAGAGGGAGATGGCATAGGGCGTGCCCAGCAGGCCTGGGGGAGCGGTGGGCAGGGCCGTCAGGGGTGGCGAGAAGGGGGCAGGCAGGTCTGTGGGGGCCGAGCCGGGTGTCCCCCCAGAGGTAGACTTGGCCGTTTCTAGACTGTAAAGAGGGATAGAGAGGGAAGATGAAGGGGAAGGTCGGGGGTGAGAAAGGAGGCAATGAGGGCAAATATAAGTGGTGAGATTAGGTGAAAAATAGAGAGGACTTGAGAACAATGACCTGGGGTGGGTGTGTTTGAGGAGAAGATGGGAAAGCTTGGAAGAGCGCGGACGGGAAGAAAGGACAAGTAAATATAGCATTGGGTAAGGGGAGAAATGGGGAGGCCGAAGACCCAGGGAAGAGAGACAGGGTTGGAGAAACAGGACATGGGGGACAGACGTATGGTGAAGATGGGGCAACACTGAACAAGTGTCGCAAGGTTAGGGGAGGCCGAGGACAGGCCCAGGAGAAGGGAGGTCAGTTCTCCCCACCCGACCTGTGCCTTTCTCAGGCACAAAAGTCCCATGACCTGTGATACCCCACCCCACACTCACCAGGCAGTGATGAGGTACTGGGCCAGGGCGATGGACACTGGTGAACCAGTGATGGTCACGTGCCGCTCACCAGCGCCCTCTGCTTGGTTCCCGATCTTGATATGTGCCCCTGACATCTGCCGGATCTCGCTGATCTTGCTGCCCTGGCGCCCAATCACGCAACCAATCAGCTGGAGAGAGGGTGGAATTCAACCCTAGGTGAGGCCCAGACGCCCCAGGCCCCCCTACCCACCCTCAAACTACCCCGTCCCGTGCTCACGTCGTTGGGAACCAAGAACTCCTGTGAGCTGGTCTGTGTGCCAGGATCCAGTCCTGCTGCGGGGAGAAGAGGGATTGGGCGTGAGTCTGGGCCTTTGCTGCCTCCCCATGTCCTTTCCAGAGGGGCTGCCTGGCCCCCTGGCATCTGCCCCTGCTTCCTTCTGCAGGAAGGAAGGGACTGCTCACCTGGCACCATGCTGGGTGAGGCAAAGGGGACTGCGTGGCCCGAGAGCTGCTGGAGCTTGGTGACCTGTGCCAAGAAGAGGGGTCAGGAGTCAGAGGAGGCTCAGTTCGGGAAGGGGTGCCTTGGGCTGCGGTCACTCACCTCAGCTGAGGTCACAGCCCCATACTGACCCTGGACGGAGAAGCCCTGTGGGGACAAAGTGGGTAAAAGGGGGTTACTGTGATCAGGGCAGTTTGGCCAGAGTCAGTCCTCCTCACCTCTCCCTGGACCCCCCATGCCTTCTTCCATCCCCTTCCCCAGTAACACATCCCACCCCTCCTGCTGTTCCCCCTCACCTGGTTGGCGGAGAGAAGGACAGTACCTAAGGAGAGGCTTGGATGATATGGGATAGTGGCTCCTTTGGGCGGGGACTGGAAGGCACAAAAGGGGAGGCTCTATCAGGACCTTCTCAGGCCCCCCCTGACCTCCCCAAGTGCCCTGTGTTCTCAAGGCCCTCTCTATAACCCCCAGGTAAATGCAGCCCGACATCCTGGAGCTTCTCACATCCATCCCTGCAGCCCCGCTCTATCTCCACCTGGTGTCACGTGGGACTTGAGGGCCTGACAAGGCAGGCCCAGGGCCCATCCCCTGCCCTCTCTCCCTGCCCCAGGACAGCACCTCCAGGATGACAGCACAGATCTGGCGCACACACAAGATGATGGCATCAGGCACCCCAGAGACGGTGACAGCACGCTCTGTGGAGTTGGGGAGCAGGTCCCCTGCCACCTGCACCTGGGCACCTGTAGTCTGCAAGCAGAGAGCGGGGGCCACTTCCAGCTACTCCCATAACCCAGAGCATGCCCAGGCTTGGAGCTCCCCACAGGACAGGAAGCTGTAAGCCCAGGTCTCCCCTCGAAACTGAAGGGTAAGACTCTCTTGGGGCGGTATCCCCTTCCCCTCACCTCTCGGATCTCCTTGATCTTGGTGCCAGCCTTCCCAATCAGTGAGCCACACTGGCTTGCAGGGATGACAAGGCGCAGGGTCACTGGAGGTCTGGAGACATTCCCCCCGTTTGCAGGAGCAGTGCAGAGGTCCTGGGCAGGAAGACTGGGTTGGCCGTGCATGCCCCTGCTGCTCCCCCTCCCCTGGAGCACCTTCCTGCTGGGGGATGAAGGAGGGAACCCTGCCCTCAGCTTGGCCTTCTGTCCCACCCGTAGCCACTCTGTGGAGTCAGAGTCCTGTTCCTCCCAGGGAACCACCTGTGGCCCCCAGCCCCTCAGCCAGCCACAAACCTCGTCCAGCTTGAAGGCAATCATGGAGACTGCATGGAAGACGGCTGCTGTAGATCCGGTGATGGTAGTGATGCGCTCAGGGCAGGAGCCCTCAGAGATGGTGATCCGGGCGCTGCTCTGTGGGTGCAGGACAAGCGCCAGGCAACGGGGCTCCTTCTCTGCTTCCTGGCCAAGAACTTGCCTGCCCCTCCACTCACCAGGCCCCAGCCAAGGCTGGAAACGGCCACCTTCTAGGGGCACTCACTGGTCATCCCAGATGGTGGATTCAGGGACAAGGTGAGGCAGGCATCTCCCCTCCCCTCCAAACCAGGTGCCCTGGGCTCCTCTCCCAAACTCCGTCCTCACCTGTTCCCGGATTCGCTTTACAGTCTCTCCTTTCTGCAAGAGACAAAATAGGAGGCAAAATAGAGAATGGCTCTTAGGCCAAGCAGCCATTGATTCCTTTCCTGGACTGAGGTCTCAGGTTGAAGGGGACATACAGAACAGAACGAGGTACCTACCTTCCCAATTATGCTGCCCACTTCCTGCAAAACAAGACAAGAGTGGAGTCAGCAGGGTACCAATACCCCAGGCCCAGCACTTACCCCTACTTCAGGTAGGGGCTCTGCAGGAGACAGGATACCCAAGATCAAACTCCCTCCTGGAGGACCAGGTCTTGCCTCACCTTGCACTTTGCCCCCTCCTGAGCCACAGTGAAGCACACTCCCACAAGCACTTACTTTCCCATGCATCAGCATCCGCAGTGTGAGGGTGATGCTGAGCTCTGGCTCCTCCTCCAGCCCCGCATCTGAGCCGCTCATCCTGTCAGGCGGGGCTGGGGCCGAGGCCGCCTGGGAGTGCGTCCACGCTGTGGCCTGGCCGGCTCTGCAGGGGGCAGTGGGAGATGGGTTAAAGAGCTCAGCTTTCTTTCAGGTCCCTTGCCCTTACATGGGAACCCCAGAGCCAAGCTAGGTAAACTTCCAGAGCAGAGAGACAGCCTGGACCACAAGTTTCAAGTGTCATGTTGACCAGTTTGCTGTGTGCAGCTCACTAGCTGTGTAAGCCTGGCTGACATATTTAACCCTTCTGAGCCTCAGCTTCCCATCTGTAAGAAGGGGATATCCAATCCAGTCCCCAGTTATGAGAATTAAAATGAGATAGGTGCATATGTGATAGGCACCCAGTTTCCACAAGTATCCTTCCCTTCCCCTCGTACGTCAGAAGAATTAACTATGGGAGTCCAGAGAGGGAGCCTCCTACCTGACCTCTTGGAAGAGGGGACCCTTGTGGATTGGCCCTTGAAGGTTGGGTTAAAATCGAAACGAGGCACTTGCGTCCAGGGACCAGAGCCCCTGCTGGCTAGAGCCTGGAGGAGCAACTGGAGAGGGAGCCGGAGCAGCCACGGGAGCCATGGGAGGTCTTGAAAGGTGGGCAGAAGTGAAGGTAGTGAGGCTGCAGGAGGGTGGGCTGCATCTGTCCACTAGAAGTCACTAAAGCAGAGGCTCCTGCAGACAGCTGTGAGCGAGGTTCATTCAGCACTGGGGGTGGGGGTGGCGGTGGGGTCTGGGGACCAGCTGTGTGCACGGTGGTTTTCTGAGCCCTCTCCTATGTGCTGAGGAGGTTAGAAGTGTCCGGGCTGGCCGTGTTCCCAGCCTGGAGCACTTTCTACTGTACCAGAAACAAATCACTTGGACTCTTGAGTCTCAGTGTTCTCACCCGTAAAATGGGGGGACTGCTTCCCCCTTGGAACTGGGTGATGGGTAAGAAAGGGATTGGGGGGCTGGGGAATGTCAAGGCCGTTAACTGATGGAAGAAGGAGCTGGAGATTAGCTGCTGGGATTAGCCCAGCCGCCAGCCCTCCCCACCCGACCCCTTTTCATGCCCCAACTTAATCCTGAACCTTAATCCTGCTAGGAAATCCCTCTCCTCCAGCGGCTGTCTCCCGCCCGCCAAGGCTCTGCCTTGATGGGAAGCTCACTGGGGAACCAGAACCCGATCAGGAAAACAGGGAGGGGACCAACTGATGCCAAGTCTGAGCCAAGAACAAGCCCTAACCCTATGAATTCCTACTGCCTGGGAGGGGTGGGGGGGATGAGTGTGCTGGGCTCCAGCACCCCCAGAGACTCCTGGGCACCTTCCTCCTCAGCCCCCTGCCCTATCCTGACTCGAGGGTCAAGGGTATGGAGCTCTGTTCAATGCCCTCTTCAGAACCCCCCTTGCTGAGCGTGGGCATGGAGGAGGCGGGGCATGGAGGAGGCGGGGTGGGGCTCCCAGCCTGGCTGTCTCTGGAAGCCACTGTATGGCCTGAGATCTTTATTTCTTCATCTGTACCATGGGGGTGACAACCCTGACTCCCCAAACACCCAGTAACTGTTGCCTCCCCAGCACCTGCTCCTCCCTCCGCTTGAGTTCTGTCCATCGGCTCTCCAGAGATCAGAGGTCAATAGTGGATGCAGGGCCTGTGCTCTGTGAGCATCCTGGCCAGCCTCATGCTGGCTGCCCTTGCTAACATTCCCCCAGCTGCCGGCAGTTCCCCCAGCAAAGCACTCGTGATGACGTGCTTAGTTTCTGTTGCCCTGGCCAGCCCGGGAGCCCCTTAGAGCAGGAGCCAAGGCTGCCACCTTCTCCTTGTGTTCCCAGAGCCAGGCCGGAGAAGTTACTCAGAACACACTGGTTATCTGAACAGATGAATTCACCAAACAGAAGGGGAGCCTGGTGCCTAGAGAGGGTCTGTAACGTGCCCAAGGTCACAGAGAGGTGGGACCTGGTGGGACTAGCAGGGCCCTGCCTGCTAGTGTGAGGGCCTGTCTGCTTCCTCTGTCTGGCTGTCCTGTCTGGGTCTGTCTGTCCTCTTCCAGGGTGGACAGGGGCAGCTCTTCAAAGGTGGGGAGCAGGCTTTAGTAGTTTCTCAGACCCCTGCTTGGTTAGTAGACATGGGTTGTGTTTGGAAAGGGCTGTACTTGTCCAGAGCCACATCTTAAGCTCTGGAACTTTCTGGGGCTCAGGGACCTCTTTGGGGTGGTAACCAATGGGAGACCCGACATTGTCCCCATACCATTTGCACATCAACTTTTGTGGGCAAAGCCTCCTGGGAAAATAGGGCAGAAGGGTTGGGATGTGGCCAGAACTAGGGCTCCTGCCCTGAAAAAGATACCTGGGTTTACAGCAGAGCCCCACTGCCCCAAATTCAATGGGTGACCTTGGCCAGGCCTGCACCTGACCTAGACCTCAGTTTACCTACCTGTGCTATGTGTGTGTGTGTTTGCAGGAAAGGGGTGGGGGAGGGGAGTGGCTGGTCTCTCTGTGTCCTTCCTGTTTTGATAGACCCTCAAGGTCTTTCCTCTCTTTAGGGGAGAACAAGGGGTTTTGATACAGGTCTCTCTAATTATTCTCCTAGGAGCCCTAAGGACAAGCAGCCCTACTAAGCATACTGGCTCCCCTTCTACCCTTACAGGGGCTCTAGGGAGTTGCTTGCTGCTCCAGCTTGGTGGGCCCTAGGTCCCTGCTGGGCCACCCACATGGCAGCCACGCGTCATGCCACACTGACCTCCAGCTCACCTCTGGGGGTACCCAGCCCCCTCTGGTCAGCAGGGCTCCCTGGCAGGACATACCAAGCTCAGACCAGGCCTCTGACCTCGGGCGTTCCCTTCTTCTCCCCAGACCCCCTCCCCAGATCCAGTGCCCACTCCTGTCTCTGGCTTCCTGCCACTCAGGCTGGAGGGGGTGCGGG